ACTGTGAGTCTTCGCCCACTCGCAATGATCAATCACCATCTCCCAACAGAGATCACTCCCCTCTTCAATCGGAGCCATCACCCCCGAGAAGACAGAGGTCTCCTTCCATTCCTCCTTGTCCGACTCCATCTTCATCAACCCCGAGAAAAGAGACTCCTCCTCCTCCTCCTCCTCCCCCTCCTCCTTCGTCTTCATCAGCGCTGGGAAAACATGATTCTCGTCGTCATCCTCCTCCTCCAGCTTAGCCCAAAACAAGATCATGGACATCCTCGCAGTCATAGAAAAGGTCCTTGGATTCGGTCGCTGATGCTCCCAAAGTGGACCAACAGAAAAGAAAAAGGTCGTTCAGTGGAAGCGTTACCACCTTGATGAAAGAAAAATTTATAGCACACATCTTGAAGGAAGATTGTGTTAGTTTCTTCAATCTTTGTGCCTCACTGCCTTCGTATTTGTTGAAGTCCGAATTTGAAAGGCAAACACAGAATAAATACGCTACAACAAGAGACGAAGAAATACACAATAAAGATTTAAGGAACATATAGAAGTACGTTGAAGACAACCCAGGATTAACAATGGAAGAGGCCACGAACATCTATTATGATGTACAAGGGAAGGGAACAACGACAATGAAGTATGAAAGGGGCAATCTTTTGGTTCCCGATGATGAGTATAAAAATTTGACAACATATATTCGCCAGTTGCATGAATATTACATGGCTCAAGCAATAGAGATGGACGACTTTGGTTTTGAGGTTATTATCCGTTCGCCACATATTTTCCATTATCCTGAAGAAGAGAAGTTCGATGTCGAGTGGGAGTGCTTGTTCTAGCTATACCAGAAACGCTCTCTCGATGTTCAAATGTTGATGCTATGGACTATGTAAGTACCCTACACGCACGATATTACAATTAACTACTCTCTCGAGACAAATTGTTAACTTTTGAGCACTTCCCATGATTTTATGTAGGTGTATAGCAAAATTTTGCATTCTAAAAAGCAAATGGGATTACATAGGCTTCTTGAACCCCTTGCGAGTCAATGAGAGGACATGTCTAGGCCTCTATGGATGTGACGTGGAAGACCTGAAACATAGATTGATTGCTATTTTTGATGAATTCACGATGAAGAAGAAAACCCACATACTTCTAGCCTATAACTGCGAGTATGTGTTCTCGGCTTTTAATTTTATGCTTCTTTTTTCGTTAAGATTATTTGATAATTAGGATTCTGTGATTGTAGCAACTATTTCGTCTTCATTTGTGTCTATCTTGCTAAAAATCTGATCGAGGTGTGGGACTCGAAGAAAAAACCATTTCATCATCTGGATGCACTGGTGGCAGTGTTGAATTAGTAAGCGATCCTAATAACATATTATTTTCTAATCACACATACCGCTTTCTAATGTTTCAACTTTAATGTTGCTCAGTGTCTGAAGAAGACATATCGGTGGGACGCCGGTCCCATTCAAGGTTGTCGAAATGGAGGGGAAGTACCTGTCACAGCCGACGGGAAACAATGAATGCAGGATTTATGTAATGTGGGCAGTGCTTCGCTACATCGGTGGGAAATCGGAAGAAGCCGATAAGTTGGTGTGTATAATCCCCATTTCATTTATATCTGTTAATAATTCAACAAAATGATTTATTGTTCCTCTTTGGAATCATCTTTTTTGAACGACAGCGCAAGAAATATAAGCACCAAAGGCTGTTAGACATGGAGATCCACGCACTGCAATCGGAGCTCACAAAATTCATCTTAGCCGATGTATTGGAAAAAGATGGAGTATTTTCCATTGCACAATCCGTGAGGTACAAGGACCAGTATGACCTAGAGCGGCTCGCCAGATTATTGTAAGAAGCCCGAGAAGCATTGCACAATCTATGAAGTCCGAGTACATTTCTTTTTTATTTTGAGGGATCGAGATCTGGATAAGAACATTTGAACTGCAACCGTAACATTTGTAATGTTTAATATTGATGGGCCTGTCTACGTAGCGTATATAAACCAAAACCCGATTCCACGAAAAAATATAAATTAAAATCAATTATAAAACAATAAAATGGGAATGGGCCATCACTGCCGGTTAACAACGAACCGACAGTGCTGTCTTGCAAAACACTGTCGGTTACCAACAAACCGACAGTGTTGTCTTGCAAAACACTGCCGGCTTGAGCCATGAACCGACAGTGTTGTCTTGCTCAACACTGCTGGCTTGAGCCACGAACCAACAATGTAGGCTTGCTCAACAATGTTGACTTGAGCCAAGAACCGACACTCTTGAAGCAACCATCACTGTCGGTTGGGACTACAAACCGGTAGTGTTGTTCAACTAGACACTGTCGGGTGAAGCCAGAAACCGACATTGTTTCCTGTAGATCAGTGTCGGTTTTTAAGAACCGAGAGTGATGTCAACCCCCCATCACCGCCGGTATGCCACTGTCGGTTCAAAATCCGGCAGTGAAGGGGTTTTTTGAACCGACAGTGATGTGCAGATCTGGGTAGTGATTCCTTGTTTGTTGTGGTTATTTATTGCATTTTGATATCCTAAAAAATGCAAAGAAATGTGGAATATATTTGGCGTGTATATATTCTCTAGCAGAAATTGTGCCATGTTAAGTAGAGCTTCCCTTTCTGCTCTTTAGAAACAAATTCTAGATAGAGATTGGCTTAGTATATAAAACAATACTCCTTCCTTTTCCATGTGTTACATGTTTTACTTTTGTCCTAAGTAAAATTTCTCTAAGTTTGATGTAATTTAATGAAAATATATTAACATATACGATACCAAACAAATGCGCTATCACGATTTATATATTTCATGGTGGGTTTTGCGAAACTAAATTGATATTGTATATGCACGTATTATTTTTATATCTTGACAAAGTTAGAGAAATTTAACAAATGACAACCAAAATAACTTGCATTTCTGAATAGAGGGATTAATTTTTAGTTAACGAGTACTTTATAGTCGCGAAAGAGCCTTGGTAACACATCGGTTCTTGGGTTTTGATTCCCATTAGGAGCGAATATTCTAGGATTATTGGTAGGCATTATTCCTATCTTGGCATTATGGGTTTAGTGGTAGGCGATATTCCCGTCGACAGCAAGACGTCTGTGGTTAGTTCGGCAACCTTGATGTTTTTGTGCCTAGTCTTCGAATAAGCTGATAGGGGTAGGGTTTGTGCATGCGTTTATTGGGGTGAGTGTGCGTGTGCATTGTGAGCGTCTATGTTGTACTGTGTAATTTGAAAAATTGAGTACTTCATAGTCTAGGGGACATGGTTGTAATACCTACCACTCCTATAAGTTGTTCTAGAGATGGACAACCCTTAAAAAAATTTAGGGGCGGTTCACACAAAGAATCATACTTTTTCATAAGAATTCAGATGGAGACAAATTTTATATAAACATTGTAATATATCTAGACCAGTTCTAAAACGTTGTAGTTGATAGTATTGAATTTGATATGGTTTAGTGGCCTCGGATGGAGGCATGTCCTACTAAAATTATACTAGACGAGATCTAAAATTTTATAGTTGAAATGACAATCATTTTTAATAAAATCATGGTGCCTGTAAAAATTATCTCTATATAGTAGTATTGAAATAAATTCATGTTTTTCAATGTCCTAAGAACGATTGCCACAAAACTTTATAGTTTGATAAAAATTTTAAGCAACATATTTTGTGCTAGATGATTGATAGAAATAAAAAAAAACTACGGCTGCTATATCAACTAAAGGACATGCCAGCTTACCTTCGTATTGCTGAACACATAGTACAAGAGCTACTCATCATTTCTGTTTTCAAGGTCACATGTACAATTCATGATGTAGCACACAAAACGCACCCTATAAGAACGGTTATATATTATTATAGAAGTAAGGAAAAGGCTCGAGGCATTCTAGTCACCATTACATAAAGACTCGAAGCTTTCTTTGCTCAATCTCTGCTTACATAAAAATTCAAGAGAGCAAATAGTGAGAAGTTATAGCTTATAGAAGGCAATATTCTATTCATTGATGCACCCTTCATTCTTCCACCAAGCATCATTGTTGTTCCATACTATAGATGTTGGAGGAAGCTGAATAAACATTGCCTGCGGAAACCACATTTCACTTCAATAAAAATGGCACATGGAACTTTGCAGAAGGTTCTGTAAAACACATCTTCAAAGAGTTTTGCTATATGCCAGTCCCTGATTTTTAAATTAGCATTTTTGGAAGAAGAAATATAGATGAAATGCACATCATCAATGTGTTGTAATTGAAATAGCTCAAGCGTACATATATATGCATATGAAAGTTCCATGAATTGCATAAAGCACAATGACAGAGCTGCTTATGATTTCAATCCCAGCTGCTTATGATTTCAATCCCAACCACAAGATTGGTTATATAAAGTGGAGACTGGTTCAAGTAGAAAAGAGTCAGCTCATTTGTGTTTTTTGTGTGGATCCACCTCATTTGTGTTTAATCGGTCAACACTAATATAGAATTAATTTTAGGAGACTTGTGTTTTTATTTACATATAGGGTCATAGATCATCCCCTAAAAATCCTTTTTAGAGTGAGCCATGTAAAACTACAGGCTGCGTAAATGTAGGCACAAGGCCCATATGTTGGCCTCTCTAAACCAGCCACTCGCTCAGATGCCGCCTCTACAAAATATCTCTTGACCAAAAGCCTCTGCACCATATAATAACTGATGATAATTCTTTTCCACATCTCTTACGCGGACTCAGATGTATGCCTGCTGCTTCATACTTAGATTGGTAGTGTTTCCAAAAGGATGCTACCTGGTAGAGCAAAGAAAATGCCAAAACATCCCCCACCGTGGCTTCCCAAAATCTTAAACATGAATCATTCGTTAGGAATTTACTAGGACCATTATTATAGAGGAATGCTAAACAACACCCATGTGTTTTAGCACCCATAAACACATGATTTTTTCTTATCTTTGACGTGCAGGGCCCACACGTCAGGTTCCAACTTAAGACACTCAGCCCTGACTCCTCTCCACACCCGACTCCTCCTCTCCGCGCCCCGTCCTCCCTCCGTGTGCCTTGGAGGAGCCGTTGGCCTCTAGACGATTTTCGACCATGTCCGTCAGCTCTGCCTTGGAGGGCTCTGTCATGGAGCGCAGCCGGCACAGCTTGTCGGCCCAGGTGGAGAAGGAGACAAGGGAGAGGCGGTCCATGGCGCCGAGCTTGCTGATGACGAACTTCATTGTCGTCTTCAGCTTGTCGAGCTTCCAGTTCCCGTCCCAGCCCATGCTTCCGCTGGCGTCCAGGACAGCCACGAGGTCCAGCCCCGAGAGTTCGGCAGTGGAGGATGTGTCAGTGAGCTCCAGCAGCACCTGCTGCCTGTTCTCCTCCAGTGGCGCCTTGTCCTTGCAGTACGCCATCAGCCGAACACTTTGGGCGTTCATGGTGCTCAGCATTGGCCCTGCTGCCCCTGCAGAAATAAATATCATCTGAATGAAGTGGTGTTCTACATCTTTTAGTTTTTTTTTTTACCCATAAGAATTGAGCGAACTTGTTGTAGGACCTGCTGATGGATTTTCAGGAGGAGGTTCGTCATCATTGAAGGACGTCATTCCTGACTTCCTGTTCGACTTCAACCCAAACAAGAAGCGACCCGTCGGCACATGCTAGATCACAGCTAGCTGATATAATGATATGTACTAGGTTAACTAAAAGAGTGAAATACACTGGCGGTCCTTTAACTTATCGGACTGTGCCAGTCCGGTCCACAAATTTGCAAACGCGTAAAATGGGCCCCTGAACTTGTCAAGTTGTTCACCGCAGGTCCATTTCCCATCCGGCGTGGCCTCCAGGCGACGTGGCAGCGCTAGCGTGGCGGACGAAGCACGTGAGCCGCACGTTTCAATACTGAACACGGCGGGGTGGCGCTGCGTCCACACTGTTTGGTGGACCGGGAGGCGCGAGACGCGACGGCACCCATGACCGGCAACGGCGAGCTCGGCGGGGTGGCGCTGTGGAGCGCTAGCGCCTGTGCGGGTTACACGGGGGTGGAGAGCATGACGAGGCAAACTCGCCTAGGACATTCCCCGCGGCGGAGGACGTCCGGAGGCGGTGGTACGTGTGGCGAAGCGGCTCGGCCACGGCGGCGCAGCTCCGGCGAGCCAGAGTGATGTGCAAAGAGGGAGAGGAAGAGCGCGGAAGCACTGGATGGTGCCTTAGGATGCCCCGAAGCTCGTTGACAAGCTCGTGTCTGCTGGAAAGCGGCAGAGGAGGAGATCGACGACGGCGGCGGCGTTGCTAGCTCGGGATGAGGCGGCGGTGCCTGTAGAACGAGAGAGGGAGCATGGGGAGAAGCGGAGTGAGTGCGGAGTGCTCACGCGACACTCTGGGCACCATTTTAGAGGGAGAGAGAGACCGGGGCAGGAGAGGAAAGGCCGGTCAAGGAGCTCGGCTCCATGCCGACAATGACGGATATCTGACTCGGCGCTGTGGGACGAGGGGCTGTGGCGCGTAGAAAGGGTCCGCGCGGGGTGCTCGGTCGTGCAGGGGACGCGGGAGAAGGGCGCGGCCAGGCGTGGTCCAAGCGCTGCCGGCGACGGCGTTCGTCCCGTGCGGAGCGGGAGGTAGGGGGCGACCTTGACGTGAGGGGCCTACATTGAAACATGCGGCTCACGTGCTTCGTCCGCCTCGCTGGCACTGCCACATCGCCTGGAGGCCGCGCCGGATGGGAAATAGACCTGCGGTGAACAACTTGACAAGTTCAGGGGTCCATTTTCTGCGTTTACAAGTTCGTGGACCGGACTGGCACATGCCGATAAGTTAAAGGGCCACCAGTGTATTTCACTCTAACTAAAATGTACTACGAGTTATACACTGATGTATATAAGAGGAGTGAAGTGGCGCACAGGGAAAGGGATGTAATAGTTGTCCTAGTAAACGACTAATGTATGCTGATTCATCGTTAAGGTTTGGAAAGGGATGGTGCACGAATGGTTTGGTATCTTCTTTGCTCTCCCTTGCGTGCAGCACACTACGTGGAAAACGGTTTGTAGCAATGGGATAATTTTTTTGTAGGGGCGGCTGGTGATGGAGCCGCCCCTACAGTGGCGTGCTCGGGAGCCCAGAGACAAGCCGCCCCTACAAATGGAACAACATGGGCGGCTGGTGATACGAACCGCCCCTACAAATGAGTCTGATTTGTAGGGGCGGCTCACTTACCAGCCGCCCTCGGTGTTGGTATTTGTAGGGTCGGCTGGTGATTGAACCGCCCCTACAAATGCTCCGCGTATAAACACCTGCTATTTGTAGGGGCGGCTCAATCACCAGCCGCCCCTACAAATGCCCCACATATAAAAACCTGCAGCACCTTCTTCCTCCTCGGGTCACTCACTCCAACCCGTGAAAGAAAGGTGGGGAGGCCTTAGGCACCTCCCAAAAATTACTCTACTAAGGGGGGGAAGGTTTTGATCTCAAATTCTTTGGTGGAGAGGTTGTAGAAGGTAAGCAAATGCTATTCCACACTTTTTTAATAGTTTTAATGGTTGGTTAGTGAGTACTTAGAGTTTTGTTTTTCTCTCTCTTCTATGGTGCTTGAGCTACTTATGAAGCAAATTAGACCCAAGTTTTGAATGTACTAGGGTAAATTAGGTAGGGGAACAAGATCATACCCTTATTTGGTCCATGTTTCTTGATTTTATTGAACAATTAGTTAGTTTTGTGGATGTTTCATGTGCATGTAGATCTAGATCTAGGGTTTGGTTTTTTTATTAATTTCATTTTTATAAATTTGTGTTTGATGAAATTGGACTAGGGTTTGCATGAAAGATATTGGGTAAAATATAGTTGTTGCTAATTGTTGTCTTTGAAATTGTTTATAGTTATCAACAAATTTGTATTTTAATTATTTATGGATAAATGGGCAATTAATTAATTTTCCTCTACCATGGTGTGTTTGTATGCTTCATGTAATTATATTTGATTTATATTCATATATATCTGAAGTATATACAATTATTCTCAAGTAATTATTAATTTGATTCATTGTTATATATCTGAATAAGTAGTCATTTAATGTTTGTTTTGTTGTTGTTGTAAAAGATGGAGTACAAGAACTCTTGGATGTATGGTTCGTTAAGGTTCAAGGCAGGTTTCCATGAAGAGGTGGATAAATTTATTGAAGCCGCAAAGAAGCATGCAACAATGTTGATAGAGAATAAGGATACAATTATTTGTCCCTGTAAAGATTGCAAGAACCGTATGGCATGGACAGATGTGACTACCATCCCCAGAGATTGAACCCCCTCCGGAGAGATGTCATAACGGAGAACACATATACAGAATGGTGCTAAACATGTGCGTCGTCTATGGAAAGAAGAATCCAGATGGGACGAACAGAGATAGAAGCACACCTCCTGTCGAAGGCGTACATTTCCAGAAACAATCGATCTTCTTTCAGTATCTGCCTTATTAGCTAGACTTGGTGGTGCCCCATGCCATTAATGCTATGCACATGCGGAAGAATGTCTTTGAGAGTCTCATTGCTACCTTGATGGACACAGGCAAGTCAAAGGATTGTCTGAAAGCATGGAAAGACATGGTGCAGCTAAACATGATGCCACAGCTTCACCCGGTACCTGAGGCTAATGGAAATACACTCTACCCGCGGCGTGCTTCAACCTAACACCAGACAAGAAGAGAGCTATATGCACTTTCTTGAGGGGGGTCAAAGTCCCGACTAGGTTTTCAGTGAATATGAAGAAGCTAGTGTCGATGAAGGACTTGTCAATAACACACTACAAGGCTCACGATTGTCATGTGATGCTGACAGTGTTTTTACCTATTGCAATCAGGGCTATAAAGCCAGAGTTCTTGAAATTGGCCATCACCCGCATGTGCTACTTCTTTTCAAAGATCTCATAGAAGACGATTGGCAAGAAAGAGTTGAGTGACCTACATGAATTTGTTGTGGAGACACAAAACCAACTAGAGATGTGTTTACCTCCTGCTTTTTTGATATAATGCCACATCTCATGATTCAAATGGTTCATCAGATACAAGCGCTGGGCCCTTGCTACTTGCATTAAATATGGTCCTACAAGCGGTTCATGTTGGTTCTAAGTCGATACATGCATAATCGAGCATACCCAGAGGGCTCCATGATAGAGGGTTATAGTACTGAAGAAGTTGTCGAGTGCTGTCAAGAGTACCTAAAAGTACAGAAAGGGATTGGTAAACCCGATTCTCGTCACAAGGGTAGGTTGGCTGGGAAGGGCACCAGTGGTAGAAAAGTGTTCATCAACCATGATTACAAAGAGGTGAGTCGGGCGCATTACAGTATCTTGCAGAGTACACAACTGATGCAACCGTACATTGATGAATACTTGGCTATCATTATGGCGGAGAGAAATGGTCGTTTAGATGATTGGGTCATGAAATAGCATAAGCAACGACTAACTACATGGTTGAAGGACCAAAACATATCGCTTGGAGAAACCATAGACTCTATTACCATCAGTAGGTTGGCGGAGGGGCCATCGAGACAAGTGACATCTTGGAATGCTTATGACATCAATGGGTATACGTACTATCCCCACACAAAGGATAGTAAATATGTGAACCAAAACATCGGTGTTCGAATAGAGGCTCTCGATGGATTGGGGCGAAAGATCCAATACTTTGGCATCATTGAAGAGATATGGGAACTTGACTATGGAAGGGATATAACGGTGGCCCTATTTTGATGCCGCTGGATCAAGCAACACCAACTGAATGAGATCGGATTGAGAGTCCTAGACCTCGAGAATCTAGGCTACCAAGATGACCCTTGGGTGCTTGCTTCACGTGTTGCATAAGTTTTCTATATGTCTGACCCACAAAGTAACCTCCCCCAAAGAATAAGACAAAGCACATGGTTGCCTCTGGGAAACAGCACATTATCGGAGTTAATGGCGTGGACGATGTTGAAGCTTACAATAACTACGATGAAATGCCGCTATTTATAGACTTTCCTAAGAAGATCAGTGTTGTGGAAAAAAACCTACCCAAAGACATATTGCCATGGGAACGAAAAGGTGTCAAGGGGAAAGTCGTTACAGCAGGCTAGCTAGTTGTTGAACGTGGAGTGTTTGTGTAAGTATGTGTTTGTAAGACTTCATTTATGCATGCGTGTGAGACTATATATTTATGTATGTGTGTGAGACTATATTTATGCATGTGTGTGAGACTACCCTTTGCAACATCTAGATGAATCTATTTCAACATCCACTCTATTACTACTAAAACTTTATGAAATCACTTAACACTTTATGAAATGAAGAAATGACCAAAATAAAAGTAGGAGATCTTGACGAGTTATACAACTTTTATATTCATCACCTTTACAGCTGAAATCATTTAGTGGTTGAAAATCAGGTTTGAAGGTGTCATTTTCTGAAATTCAAAATTTAAACTGTTCAAATTTTGTCAAATAAAAAGATGACCAAAATAAAAGTTGTAGATAGTGATGTGTTCAACAACTTTTATATTCATCACCTTTACAGCTGAAATCATTTAGTGGTTGAAAATCAGGTTTGAAGTTATCATTTTCTAAAATTGAAAATTTGAATTATTCAAAATTAGTGACAAAGATAGATGACTAGACTAAAATGATAGAGCATGATTTTATAAAATTTTAGAAAAAAACCATCACATTTGGAGTTAGTATGAGTAAGAAAAACTAGTTACAAGTTTCAGCCACAAATTAAAAAGAGAAATCACACTTGTTTATCATTGATCATCATGAACAGTTATGCTTTTTCTTTTTAATCTCTGGGTAAAATTTGTAACTAGTCTTTCTCCCTCATACTAACTCCAAATGTGATGTTTTTTTTCTAAAATTTTCTAAAATCATGCCCTATCAAGTTACTGTGTTGATTTGATCATTCTTTTCATTTGACAAAGTATGAGCAATTTAAATTTTCAAATTAAAAAAATGACAAGTTCTAACGAGATTTTCAACCATTAAATGATGTCAGCTAAAAAAGTGATGAATACTAAAGTTGTATAACTCATCAAGATCTACAACTTTTATTTTGGTCATTTTTTCATATGACAAAGTGATAGTAAACATTGTTCACAAATCAACATGTCTCTCGTATAGTTCATGAAACTATGAGTCATATGTGAATTTGTGAACAATGTTTTCTAATACTTTGGCACATGAAGAAGTGACCAAAATAAAAGTTGTAGATAGTGATGAGTTCAACAACTTTTATGTTCATGACTTTTATTGTTGAAATCATTTAAGGTTTCAAAATCTTGTTAAGTTGTCATTTACTGAAATTCAAAATTTCAACTATTCAAATTTGGTCAAATGAAAAGATGATCAAAATAAAAGTTGTACATATTAATGACTTCTACAACTTTGGTATTCATGAGTTTTTCAGCTGAAATCATTTACTCTTTCAAAATATTGTTTCAAGTTGAAATTGTTTGAATTTCAAATTTTAAATCATTCAAACAAAGTCACATGAAAAAATGACCAAAATAAAAGTTGTACATGTTGATGAGTTATACAACTTTTATATTTATAACATTTTCATTTTAGGTCATTTAATATCCTAAAATTGTAGTCGAAGTTTTAAAATTCAAATTTAAAATTTTTGCTTTCTATATTTTTTTACTACAATTGTTTTTATATATATTTGTGCATATATAGAATAATACAAAATATTATATACATTTAATTTGTGTTTTTTGATATAAAAATATAGAATTAATAATTTAATAAAGTAGAAAAATATTTGTAGGGGCGGCTAGATCAGGAACCGCCCCTACAAATGCATTTATAGGGGCGGCTGGATCAGGAACCGTCCCTACAAATCGTCTTGGGTATATAACCACGGGTGGCTAGATCAGGAACAAGCGTTGGGCGCTCTCTTCTTCCTCCCGACGCCGTCAGGCTGCCCAAGAGTTTCCCCGACGCCCCCGCTGCTCCAGCTAGGGTTTTAGAGACCGGGCGCCTCGCTCCGCGCCCCATCTCCACGGCGGCTAGGGCTCCTCCGCAATGCCGCCACCCCTCCGGCCCTACCATCCCTAGGGCTCCTTGGCCCTCTGCCGCCGCGAGTTCAGGCAGCCTCACGGCGCGGCTCCTCCCTCCCTGTAGCGCGCCCTGCGGTGTGGCTCCTTACTCCCCGCGGTGCGCCCCATCTCCATGGTGGATAGGGCTCCTCCACAACGCCACCACCCCTCCGGCCCTCCTGTCCCTGGGGCTCCTTGGCCCTCCACCGCCACGAGTTGAGGCAGCCTCACGGCACGGCTCCTCCATCCCTGCAGCGCGCCCTGCGGCGCTGCTCTTTACTCCCTGTGGTGCGCCCCGCAGCTCGAACCTCCCTGTCGCTATCGCCGTCGCCGTCGAGATCCCCCTCTGCCGCCACTCCTCCCGTCCCCGTCGAGTCCCCCCACAGGTACGCTCGCTTGGCTCCTTCGTCTCGTGATTGGAATCTTGGATGGGAGTAGTAAGAGTTTGTGATTTGCTATTGGACACCTTCATGTGAAAAAAGATTTCTTCTAAATCTTGGATGGGAGTAGTAAGAGGGGTTGACATACTGATAAAAAAGGCAAGATAAACAGAGTGGTTATCTTATCTGCTGCTGTTGCTTCCTGATCATTTCATACTGCATTATGGTGGTCCATCTTTTAAAAGATTGATTACTGTCACGCTTCTTAACTTACTGTAAATTGTTGTGCTTCACCTTTAGTACACCTTAAAATGCAATGATTATCAGGCTTCCTGTAGATTTGTCTCAGCAGCATGTTGGCTAGGTTTATTTATGTGATGCTGTAGTGGTGAAAAGTAAAATTTATCATGATTTATTATTGTATGCTTTCCCTAAACCTGATCTTGTGTGGTAGCTTTTAGTGCCTGACCTTATAAGTAGACTTCCCAATGCCCCACCTCCTAAAAATCCAGTAGTATGGTTGTTTGACAAATGCAGAACATGTGTGTAGGCATTATGAACATGTGCATATTCAGATCACAGTGTCAGATACAAATAGACCAATATCACAGATGACAATGAACATGATGGGTACAATACAAATTACATTACTTAGCATGTCTGCCATTTCTTGGGTATTTTATACATAAGCGTGCCATCACTTGGGTATTACATATAAGTATGTCATTACTTCTACTGCTGTCACCTCTGTGTCCCTTCACTGCAACCATGACTATTTTACAGAATATTTCTACTTGTACTCCACCCTGGTACTTGGGTATGATATATTACAGACAAAAGACATGCTATTTCCAAAAGTTGTCCACATTCTATCCAAAAGAAGTGTTGAAAACAATGATTGTTCTCAGTAGTTGCCTCCAAACAACAGATTTGCCAGTCTTGCTTGCCTTGGACCTTGACTGCCACTTGGTATGTCTTCATGTATGCTGCTTTGGTGAAACATGGAGCAATGAAGTCATCCCTTTCTTGCACTTCAAACCCATCTTCTCCATTCCACAGTACAATACATTTGCCAGACATTTCAATGTTCATCTTCAGCTTTTTGAAAATATTTGGACAAATTTGTCCAGTCCACTTCTCAGCTCTTGTTCTGTTTTCTTGAATCCTAACCATGAGCTTCTGCCTAATGGCTTCACACATAGAGATCACTGGGTAGAACCTAGCTTCCATAATACTGTGGTTGAAACTCTCACACATGTTGTTGTCAACTGAGTCACAATTATTGCCTAACCTGAAAAAAGCCCTACTCCAGAGTTCTGGTGAGGTGTTCATCATGTATTTAGCACCTTCTGGTGTCTCTTGAGCAAGGTAAGCTCTGTACAAGTTGAATAGTGTCCTACTTGATGCTTTTGCACACCTCCACCACTTCTTCTGTAGCTTCTTGTCTGTGTACTTCTTCCTCCAGTTGGCATAAATATGCCTTGCACACATTCTCGCCTTGTTGTAACTATACCTTATAAGTAAACAACCATACCTGATCTTGTGTTGTAACTATAATATGCACATTGTTGTAAGTAGACTTCCCAATGCCCCACCTCCTAAAATGGATTTTTTTTTCTAGTAGTGGGGGTTATGATTCCCAAGAGTATCAATCCCGATGCTTGCCATGAAAATTGCATTATCCTTTATACCTAATTAGGCGACCATACTACTGGATTTTTCTACAATTTGATGAAGCTACATCACTTGCCTATCATGATAATTATCATTTGCTCAGTTTCCTCCGCCTCCTTACATCACCATCTTTGGCATCGGCCTCCCACTATTGGAAATGGGAGCCATGCATTGGCCTATTTGAATAATTTGACCGAAGATAGCCATGTGGATGCCATGCATGTATGAAATTTTTACAGTAGTCTATTTGGAGCATGTAGTATGAACTATAATTTTTTTAGATTAAACTGTGCAGTTTTCATACATGTTCATTATTCCACTTAAATAACTAAATAAATTAAGAAAGGCATTAAAAGAAATGAATTGATGGTAAACACCTTACTTTCTGGTGATCTTATATCATGTGTGAACTTGTGATGCACTTGGTTTGGTCAGAAATCATGTTTGGCACATAAGTAAATATTTAATTTTAGCATTTTTATAATTCTGGATAGTTTCTAGCACTTGGTGAATTAGGATTTGATAATGGTGTTTGCTGGAAATCATGTGAATACCAAAGTTGTAGTTAACTTACTAGACTAGCTTGTATTAAAATTTGGTGGCATTTGGCCAAGTAGTTTAGGAGATATGACTGTTCTCAGTTTGAGTCCAGTTTTGGCTGCTCTCTGTCTTGTGAAGACAGATTTCTGCTGTTAAGTGATTTCAACCTGATAAAAGTTGGAATCGTGCCTTGAGGTCTGAAAATGAATTTTAGGCAATTTCATAAGCTTTCCAAATTATCATGTTTCATGTTATTTGGATTTGTAAATCTCCAGTTATGGTCAGTTTGCTATGCTGTTGTTGCTCTCTTACTACTGCTACTGCTCTCTTACTACTGCTACTACTCTGTACTATACTCCATTCCTCTCTTTTGCTTGCTTTGTTGTGCAGCTACTACTACCGAACTACTACTACTCTGCTTTCCTATATTTACTACTCTGCTATGTCTCTTTCTCACTCTTTTCTGGCTCGACTGAACTGCTTTTTTCTGGCTACTCTTCTATGCTTCGGGCAGCCCTTCGGGGTCAATTAGAAACAGCCGAAGGACTTAGCATAGGGCAAGGCAGGTGCTTGCCATGCTTGCTCTCTCCCTCTTTGCTACTGTCTGGTGCTTGTTGTGCCTACTCTCTCCATCTTTGGTGCTGCTGGTGCTGTCTGGTGCTTGCTGTGCTTCCTCTCTCCCTCTCTAGATTTGCTGGTGCAAATACCAGAGACGACGTGTTTGTTTTGCTTCGAAGCGGGTTTTGGTGGAATGACAGAGACGGCGTGCAAATACAGACGCACGCTAGTTGCTAACTTGCTACCCTCCTTGGCTCCTCCCCTTAGCTACCCTCCTCTCCTCTATTTTTGCCACATTTCCTATCCTCTATATTTGGAAAGCAGCTGCTGCTTTTTTTACACCTTTTCCTCTCTATGTTTGTTAAATAGCTGTTACTTTTTTTTGCCAAATCTCCCCTCTCCTCTCCTCTCCTTTGTTTTGCCGATGATGAAATTGTCTAAGTCCATACATTATATGGAATATGAGCTGATGATCAAGAACTTGTGAGGAACTTGGCATCATTAGCAGCCGCCCCTACATTACCTTCTCCTCTCTTCTCTGTTATGATGCCTTGATGCTCCAAGTTCATGATCAAATGATGATTGACATGTTTCTGAGGCCTCTACTACTACTACTCATTTTTTTGATATATTGTTGTTTTATAGGACTACTTTGGTTTATAGACCTTTTTTATTTCTTATACCTTCTCGCGTACCTAAATCACACTTTCTTGCATCTATTAGAACAAAGCGCGAAAATAATGTCACGGACACCAGACAGTGCAGCCCGATGCCCCGATCATGATGAGCAGCCAACCTATGAGGAGCAAGCACTAGAGGACCAGCTTACTCAGAAGCAGTTCAATAATGAGTTAGAAAAAGATCTAGAAGTGATGCTTACTCAGGAGCAGTGTGACGAGGAGGAAGGGGAGCAGAAGAAAGAGCAGGAGAGGCTGCTGAAGGCGAAGAAGAAGAGGATGATGATGTCTCAGAAGAGAGATATGTAAGTCCCGAGGATCCTTTCCCACATGAAGCCAGAAGGAGGCCAACGGAGGAAGATTTGGACAAGGATTTTGACCCGAATGAGGAGGTAGGGATAAAGCCTTAGCTTGTAAATTTTGCTAAAGCTTTGGCTGTGTTACCTCTGCTAACACTTTGACCTGTCGTATATACAGGTCTCTCCTAAAACTCGGAAAAGACAACGTCAACGTCCGCGACATCTCGCTGGACAAGATGGAGTAGAGGAAAGGGGAGCAGAGGCAACAGCCATAGAGACGGACATTGAGGCCTCTGCTCCACAACCTCAAGACACAACCATGACTACAAAGCCTAAGAGGAAACGAGGGCATAGAAAAGCAAATCTATATCCAGATAAGGCATGATATGTGATAACGAAGGTCAGGCCAACAGGGGAGATCCTTGAGCCGAAGGAATTAAGAGGATGATTCCGTAATGCGATCGGGGCCCTAGTAAGAGATAAATTGAACCTAGCAATCCCTAACTGGAAAGAGGTACCAGAGAAGAAAAAGGATGAGCTATGGGATAGGCAGCTGAAGCTCAATTTTAGATTTCCATAGGGTAAGCATGAACTGGTAAAAAAAATGCTTTCAAGATGATGGGAGAGTCATTCCAACGTTGGAGGTTGGAGCTCAACAAGAAGTATATCCAAAAGGGGTTAACTCCCTTTAACGAGTTCGGCAAAATAACTCCTAGTCAATGGGAGGAGCTCGTGGCTCAGAAGACTTCACCGGAGGCATTGGAGCTCAGTGCCCATAACACCGAGCTTGCGAAGAGGAACAAACACCACCATCATCTAGGCCCCGGTGGCTACTATGCCAAGGAAGAGCAGTTTAGGAAGATGGACGAAGAGGCCGTAGCTGCTAGGAATATCGATGTGATGAATTTGAAGGTACGCTCAAGGAATTGGATATATGCGAGGAGTACAGAATCATCCAGCGGTAATCTTAAGTTTGATAAGCCGGAGACCCAAGAGGCAGTATTAAGGATACTGAAATATGCTGAAGACAAGGAGAAGGGCTCATTCAATCCTTCTAGAGAGAGGGACGAGCTTAGCTTTGGTTTGGGAAACAAGGAGCACACAGGCCGCACCAGGGGGATAGGGAAAAGGACGACCTAGAAGCAAGAATTCGAAGAGGACAGACACATGTACAAGAAACATGGCAAAGACCGGGAGATTAATCTTGAGCTCCAAGTAAAGGCTCTAGTTGCGAAGGCGTTGGAGGAACAAGAACTATCTATGGAGCCACGAACATTAATGACACCGCTGGGAGAACTGGCATTAGTTGGCAGCCCTCCAAAAGTTCCTAGTAGCCATGGTTCCACTACAGCCACAACCCCCGTCGATCGCATACGGAACCAACTAGTTGCACCTTGGTGTTTCTCAGCGGCCGGCAAAACATTGTGATGGAGGTGGCAATGGGTGTGGCACATCCTCCCGGTGGCTTACACCACAATAATAAGATGCCACCAGACTACACTAGGGTCGAGGTGCATACCGTGAAGCCCGAGTTCATGCAGTGGAGGATAGACTACGCAACTCCCGAGGGGCTGGTGTTACTCAAAGACGTAATGGGGCAGTTCATCCTCTGGCACAAATGGGACATTATATTGACTGCTTCTTCGCCGCCTCCCCCTCTCCCAAATTTAGAGCGAGTTGTTGAGGTCGGGGAGATATTTTCACCGTCTCGCGACCACCACATTCCTGAGATGTCACATTCTTCCCCGCCTCCTAGCAAGCATGTGCCTTCTCCAACTCGTACCTAGCAAGTGCATGATTAGATGCCACAGTCTTCTCAACAAGCACAGTCGATACATGAACAATGAGTGCCTCCTGAAGAAGGTGATGCACAAGAAGATGAGGACGTGCCTGAATGGGAACTTTGAAAGAAGCATCCAATCACCATAAGACCAATTTATGTTCCGATGAAAGACGTCTCGTCGGTGTCCAAGTGATATTCCCATGACCAGTTCAAGCCTGAGAACCAAGTTAAAAAAGTCACATCACGGGGTTCTGAGGAGGCCATCACTAGCAAACTCCACCAAATAGCAAAGCAGTATCCAAATGTTGATGCCATCAAATGGTCAAAGGATTGCCCAAAAACATATGAAAGGGGCAAGCCCTTCCTACCAAACCGGGACATCCAGCGCCTACCACTTGGAATGAGAAGGTTCCATGATTGGTACTTGCGTGTTCTCCCAACGAGCATAGACCTCATACAAGCATGCTTCCCCACCGGCACATTTGGAAGCCCAACCGAGAAAATTGTCTTTGACTTCAATGACATGCAGACATGCTTTCACCTTAGAGCAATGGAGATGAATCTAATTCGCACGTGGTGCCTATAAGTCCTTGTCCTCCCGATATTATATGAATGTAATCTTTGAATTTTGTTGTAACTAACCCACGCCGTGATTTGTAAAATGCAAGTGCACATTGTCAAACAAATGCCAAGTGTGAAAGCCAGGTATATAGACCCTCAAGCTATAGCACAAACAAATTTTAATTACCCTAAGCAGTGGCTACTAGAAAGACTCTTTGGGAGAAAGAGCACATCCGTACGGTGAAACTAAGGGAAGAGTCCCTTAAGGTTGCGGCATACATTGCCCTGGCTTTCAAAAATCTCCAATAGCACTCTACTATATGGCTATCATACAACTTCGAGTAAGTTCAACTCTACACTTAAAGCTTTGTTCGATATATTTTATTCGGTGCAAAAGAG